AATTGAAGACTCGGCACACCACTTCTGAAAGGTTGCCGCCCCCTGAACTATTGTCTTAATGTTAATTGTCAATGACAGTCTTCAGTACTAATTGGCATGAGCTTGATTGACCTTCAGGTCTGTATAAAGGATCCATGTTTATACAATAATTCTCTGTGCAGAATATTAGAAAAAAGTTATAGTATTTCAGCTTTGTAATAACAATTGTGATACTGGTTCGATTACTGTGTATCACATTAACTTCATTTAATTATTGGTTAGTCAAGTTTGAACATTCAATTTAAATTTCATACATTATTATTATTTTTTGTTACGACCTATCATACAACCATAATTATTTAATTTTTGTATCTATATTTCATTCATCTTTGAATTTTATTTCAGTTAATGAAATATGTAAATTCAGGCTAATCTACTCCTTTAGTCTAAGCAACATGGATTTCAAATTCTTCTCTGAGAGAAGCCAGTGGTATACTAAAATTTATTAATCCTTGTGTTTTACACTATATGTTCCACATAAAGAAGTTTATGCTCACCCTCATTTGAAAGCAAAATTAGGACCCAATTTTGCAAACACTTATGCTTGTAAGTAACTTCACTTACACGAATTGCTGTGTTTGCAGAATCTGGCGCTTATTTTGCAAACAAGAAGCACAATATAAAAGTGCAGAATGTTCAATACTGAGTGTACAGAACTAGGTGTCTGTCCTTTGTATCAGTCTATATGTATCATTAAATAAACTGCTTTCATCATGATAAGAAACACTCCAGAAAGGTGTACTGGAGTTTAATATTTCTTTAATTATTTATTTTATTATAAATTAGTTAAGCAATCTTATTCTCCCCCTCAAGAGTTTAACTTCCATGCTGTGTAACCTGGGAAAATACTAAATGTGCATAATCTCCCTTATAGTTCAATATCTCTTGATACAGTAATTCTGATGATGTAACAACTTCAGAAATATTCTAGCTGTGTTTAAATAATTTTTATATAGAACTTAAAACCGGTAACTTCTTTTGTTACCTTATCTTCTATTCTGCTTCAGAAAACCTCATGTGTAATAGTGTTACAGGCAGCTTGTATATGCCAATGGAAAAAACAAAACAAAGTTCTTATTATAACGTAGGGTAGGCCCACATATGAATTCAAAATTCTGTTGTGCAAATATGAGACTCCCTTTTTATTTCTTCAGGGTAATTATACCAGAGATGTTGAACTCAAGTTACTGAAAAGTTTCCCTAAGAAAGTACTTCTACAACTTTAAAACATTTTTCTGATTTACTGTGTTCCTAATTGATGTATTTTGCTCATATTTTTAAGGATTTTGCCTGTGGTTAGTCTTTGGAAGAATTAACAGTATATTAACTCAGCCCCTGATCTTGCAAATAGATCCCTGTGAAAAGACCACACAGAGCCCCACAGAAGTCCAGAATGTCTCTTTGCTTGTTTATTGTCTGATGCTAGTCAGATTTGAAGAAGCTCATAAAATATATTGGCTTTGATAAATCATGATTAGTATCTACTGTTCTGTAATATTTTGTATTGTCTAAGTCTGCCTTGAGAGTTCACTACTCCCTACTGTTGAGACAAGAGATCTCTGATTAATGAAATATTGAACAATTTAGCTATTTCATTTAATTTTTGTTACCTTTCTCTATACTTTTCCTATAATGGTACATCTCTCATTTTATTGCTATTTTAGTTTCATTTTAAAAGTTGAATATTTGTGTTTTTAGGTGTGTATGTATCTATATATCAAACACAAACAAGTGTATGCATGCATATATATATTTTTATTATGGAACATGGTAATAAACTATAATAAAGTTTTTACTGATTGCATTTTAAAAGATGTTTAGAAATATAAATATTTGCTCTTTTCTTAGTTTGTTTTAATAGCATTTTTGATGTTTTTTTATTTCATGTTCAAGAGACCATTCAGGTGTGACATAATTTTTTCTAATTAACATTTTAGATTCTTTGGTCCTGAATATTTTATTGCCAAACAGTTGAATAGCACAAATATTGTAAGCAATGTACTCCCACGTTATCAAATAAATGCTCAAGGTACAGCTTATAATGTTGAAAAATAGAAAAATAAATTGACCTTGATGAAGTGTGTCTTCTTTTGTCTGTTCCCAGGAAAGTTTATTTCAGGTATTTCTACTGCTGAAATGATTAGAGTTAACAGCTTTTTCCCTCCATTTTATTTTACAGGGTCTCTTCATCTTCCTGATATATGGGGTGTACAACACAGAGGTAAGTCTGCTTGGAGTATCTCAAGGCTGACAGAGTGAATGAGAGAAATGACAGGTTTCTTATCTTGATAACTGAGGGACAAAGTTGGCTTTCCATATGAGTGTCCTACTGCCCTTCATGCTTGGACTAGCTTATATGCATCCCATCTTACCATTAAACATAGACACCCTGAATAAAGGGACAGACTCATTTCTCATAGGCATTGACTAATATTTTACTGCTGCTTTAAGTTTTTGAATTCCTAGTCTTTCTTTTAACACTTAGCTACACTTGACAGTCTTAAACTTTCACAATTCAAGTTGGTTTTTATATATAACTAAGTTTTAGTTTGCATGCAGTTTAAATGGAACTGCATTTATAGTTACATGAAATGTAGCAAGAACTAGTCTTACTTAATAACTGACTTTAGAATTCTGTATAGAAACTTCTTATATCCTAGGTTTAATATTTACATCTTTTACATATTTTGGAAGACTTTTAAAATATACTGCAAGGCTTTCTAATAGCTGCAAACGGGCCTATGGAAATTACTTGATGGTCTTTATAGGTGATAGATATAGCAAATGGAATGTAAACAAATCATAATTTTGTTATCATAGCTTGTGCCCTTACAGTTCCATTCATGATAAAAAAAAAAAGTTTTAATCATTCCAGTAAGAAGTTACTAATACACCTGGGTGCATATTATATTTGGGATGCCATATTCAAAACCCATAGAAATAAAGAAAAAGCTTTGGGAATCAACTGTTGGAAATTAAACAGAATTTTATTCAAAAGTTATTAGTAGTCAAGGCTGCATATCTAGTTTAACAACACTAGTGAAAATGAAGAAAATGTCAGCTGCAATCTTTCATGGAGAGGTTATTTTTTTAATTAAAGTGGTCTGATTGTGAATGTGTCTCTGGAGTTGCATCAGTCCATTATAATTACAGTTGGAAGGATTAGATTTTTACCAGTAAAAGTCAGTCAACCTTGATTTCACCAAATACACACAAACTGACAAAAAAAAAATCTCCATCAATAATAATAGAAATTTACAGATAGGCAAAGAGAAATGCTGCTTGACAACTTATTAGAGTTTAGTTTATTGATATTTACTTTGTAGATACTGATGTGATGTTGACAATTTGTGTGTTAATAGTTATAAGGCTTTAACTTTTTATACCTGAGTTTACTGTCATTAATGGTCAAACTCCCCCAACCCCTTAATTTTCTGCAACTGTGAAAATTTAAATAGACAAAAATTGAAAAAATGCTTAAAATATCTATATTTATAGCTTTCAAAATTACAAAAACAAAAAAACAAAGTCAAAATCAAATTCTGCTAAGCCTAATAATAGTGAAGGGATTTTCATATATGCAACTAAAATGGCAAACAGCACCATTAATCAGGTATGTGCATATTTGTTACAACTGTGTGCCAAACTGTGTTTCAATTGGGCTGTACTGATATGAGAGTAATTATGTAGCAGTCTTCAGGTACATTAACTATCAATTCTCTAAATGTACAATTAATTTGCTTGCAGTTTTCTTTAACTGAGGTGTCTTTTACTCAGTTCATCCTTTCTTCCGAAAAGAAATAGCAATCTGGAAGTGCTTTCCAATTTGCACTTCTCACAAATTTCAGATGAAGTGCTCACAAGCAAATATGCATATGTTATGAATGTATACATATATACAATCAACAGGCCAAATTTGGATATCCTTACTCTTAAGTAATGTTTCAGGAATGGGTTCTATTAATGTCAATGAAGCCAGTGCAATAAGATTCTAACTCAATAAGGGTATCAGAATCTGGCTCCATATAAATACATAAAATATTAATTTCTTTGTGTGTAGAAGGGGCTTAATAAATGCATGTGTGTCAAAGTAATTATTTTTGAGTCTGGCACCACAAACAATCTATAGATTTATTTATATATCTATAATCTCCTAATCCTGCAGGAGTGAAGATGCACACATGCTTTTACGTGTTAGGCCCAGTGCGGGGGGGGGGGGGGGAAAAGGTATGTTGTTTTTTTTCCCCTTCGCTTTATATTAGTTCATTTATCTTTTCATGCTTGAAAAGCCGTTACACTGCAGGCTAAAGAGGGAGACCTGTAACAACCAGCCCCAAGTGCGTTACCCTAACGGTCTGAACCACCGTTAGGCGGTGTTGTACCCTGGGCTCGTTAACAGGGCACTTAGGCCACAACCCACCGAGCTAACGTCACACATGCTCGCCTGTGTCTTCACGGGGCTTTTCTATCCGGCTCTCTTAACCAAACTGCGCTCAGAGATTGCGACACACAGCCTGAGTGCTGGGGCTAGGACTAGTGCCTGAGGCGCTGTGGCTATGGTGCGCGCACAGTCCGTTACACAGCCTGGCTGCAGAGCAATCCCTGCCCCCCTGTGTCACGCCGGGAGCACAGGGAGGGCAGCTGCACCTGGGCCCCCTCCAGGAATAAGGTGCACAGCACTCCCCTCCCCTCCGGGCTCTGGCCCCGGGCGCAGCCCAGGCGGCGGCGTGAGTGGCTGCAGGGCAGAGATGGCTGATGGCTGAAAAGGGGGGGGGGGGGGTTCTGTTACGCCTGCGCGCTGCTTGCCGAGCGCTGCCCGCCCAGCGCGGCCCTCCTGACTGGGTCGTTCCCAGCATGCCGCGCGCCGCGCATGTGCAGTGCCGCGCTCGGGGGCTGCTAATTCCATTGTGGAGCGGACGCGGCGTTATTTTTGACTGGAGGCGGCGGCAGGAGCCGTAAGTGCAGCCAGGGCCGGGTGCTGCCCGACGGCGCGGGTGGGGCGGTGACGATGCGCCCGGGCGGGGCCGGTTCGGTGAACGGGCGCTGAGCGGCACTCTGAGCGAGAGGCGTCTGGCTGCGGGCGAGCGGCGGGTCCCGCAGCCCCTCTGGGCCGCGCCTCCTCCCCGGCCCGGCTTCCTGGGGGATGAAACTCGGCAGCGGCTTCCTCGGCGGCGGCGGCGGCAGCAAGAGGGCGGCGGCCATGGAGCCCACCTTCCCCCCCAGCATGGTCATGTTCAACCACCGCCTCCCGCCGGTCACCAGCTTCACTCGGGCGGCCGCGCCCCCGCCGGCGGCCCAGCACCCCTCGCAGTGCGTCTTGCCGCCGCCCCCCTCCGCCGCCGCCTCTTCCTCCTCTGCGGCGGCCGAGACTCCCGCGCCGCCCCCCCCTCAGGACGTGACTTTCAAGAAGGAGCCGGCTGGGGCTTTCCCTTCCTCTTCCTCGCAAAGGAGCCCCTGGGGCTTCCTCCACTCGCTGGTGAGCATCAAGCAGGAGAAACCCAGCGAGGAGGAACAGCAGCAGCACTATGGGGGGTTATTCGGAGGGGCTGGGGAGGAGAGGCACCCAGCCCTGGGCAGTGGCAGTGGGGAAGGAGCCAGCCAGAGTGTGATTCAGGACCTCAGCCTTCTCCACCACCTGCACCACCATCCCCACCGGGACCTGTTACTGAGCGGCAGGAGCGAGGGCACCCCTGGGGGCTCCGATGAGCCAAAGCACGACGCCCACGGCAAGAAGGCGAAGAGGCCAAAGCCAGAATCTCAGGGAATCAAAGCCAAGCGCAAGCAGAGCACCTCATCCAAACCCCCGCTGGTGGGAGACACAGAAGCTGCCATCTTGTCCTCAAGTCAGAAACCTCATGTCTGTGAACACTGCAGCGCTGCCTTCAGGAGCTCCTATCACTTGCGCAGACATGTGCTCATTCACACTGGGGAAAGGCCTTTCCAGTGCAGCCAGTGCAGTATGGGTTTCATCCAGAAGTACTTGCTCCAGAGACACGAGAAGATCCACAGTAGGGAGAAGCCATTTGGATGTGACCAGTGCAGCATGAAATTCATCCAGAAGTACCATATGGAGAGACACAAGAGAACACATAGTGGAGAAAAGCCATACAAATGTGACACTTGTCAGCAGTATTTTTCAAGGACTGATAGACTGTTGAAGCACAGACGAACATGCGGTGAAGCCATAGGTAAAGCAGGTGCAGGAATGGAACCTGGATCATCAAATCACAACATGGGGAGCCTGGCTGTATTGTCTCAGGGAAATACAAGTTCTTCAAGGAGAAAAAGTAAAACAAAAAGTATATCCATTGAAAACAAAGGACATAAGTCTAGTAATAAAGTAACTGAATCACAAGTTCCAAGTAATATGACCATGCAGAATTATGCAGTAGAAATTCCTGTTGTGTCTTCCAGTGGTGGCTTAGTTGGTGCTGGCATGGAAGAATTACAAAAAAAGGTGCCAAAGTTGGTCTTCAAAAAAGGAAACAGAAAAAATGCAGACAAAAGTTACCTTAATTTTGTGTCACCGTTACCAGATATTATTGGGCAAAAACCATTGCCTGGGAAACAAAGTGGCTCTCTTGGTATAGTAACCAATACTGGTGTAGAAGCTATTGGCCTTCTCCAAAATGCAGGTGGAAAACCAGGTCAAATAAGTAGCAATTATGATGATGCCATGCAGTTTTCAAAGAAAAGAAGATATTTGCAAACTGCCAGCAGTAACAGTGCCTTTTCTATAAATGTTGGACATATGGCCTCCCAACAGTCTGTCATCCAGTCTGCAGGTGTCAGTGTTATGGATAATGAAGCCCCATTATCTCTTATTGATTCAACATCTCTAAATACTGAAATGAAGTCTTGCCATGACAAGTCTGGAATTCCTGATGAAGTCTTGCAGAGTCTCTTGGACCAGTACTCTCACAAATCAGAAGGCCAGAAGGAAGATCCTTTCAGTATAACTGAACAACGTGTAGACTTGCACACCTCGGGAGAACATTCAGAGATGGTTCAAGAAGAAAATTTGAGCCCAAACTCTCAAACAGCTTCAAATGATAAGGCAAGCATGTTGCAAGAATACTCTAAATACCTCCAACAGGCTTTTGAAAGAACGACCAATAGCACTGGTTTTGCTTTTGGGCCCAGTTTCCAATTTGTTAGTTTGTCTTCAACTCTCCATAACCACAGTTTGTTTCAAGACAAACAGATATACACTACATCTCCTCTTGAGTGTGGCTTCAGCCAGTCTGTTACCTCAGTGTTGCCAACTGCATTGCCAAAGCCTCCTTTTGGGATGTTGCTTGGATCTCAACCAGGTTTTTATTTATCTGCTTTGGAGGCTACACATCAACAGTTGACTCCTTCTCAAGAGCTGGATGATCTGATAGATTCACAGAAAAATTTAGAGACTTCATCAAACTACCAGTCTACATCTCAGAAATTGAGTAGCCAGAAGGAACAGAAACATTTAGAATCTTCAACAAGCTTTCAGATTCCACCTCAGGAGTTAGCTAGCCAGATAGATCCCCAGAAGGATGTAGAGCCTAGAGCAACATACCAGATTGAGAACTTTGCACAAGCGTTTGGTTCTCAATTTAAGTTGGGCAGCAGGGTGCCAATGACTTTTATCACTAACTCTAATGGAGAAGTGGACCATAGAATAAGGACTTCAATGTCAGATTTCTCAGGGTATACAAATATGATGTCTGATGTAAATGAGCCATGTAGTACAAGAGTAAAGACCCCTACCAGCCAAAGTTACAGGTAAGGTCCCAAGTGTGACCAGGCTGTGGGGTCTTTTTAATGGAATTTTGTTTTATTTTCATAACACTGCCATTGGAATGTTTCTACATGGTCCTGTTAAGAATAATGTAACATGCCCTTTCAATGCAACTTTTCATATTTAGTTTATTTTGTTAGTGTGATTTTTTTTTTTTTAAGGTCTGTTTATTATGGGTTTTAATAAAAAATCAATAGATTAAAATAGTTTTTTGTTCAAATGACAATGTTTAGCAATCAAATTTACATATATAGAGTGTCAGGGAATAGCCCAAAAGTTTAAAATGCAAAAAATTAACTTTGTTCCTAGGATTAAGGTTTATTCTAATTGCTTTACTCTCAGGAAAGTGTAACGAAGCATGGAAATTCTATGCACCATTTGTGTACTGGAACTTCCAATTCAGATAGTGGCAAATATATTTCAACATTTAAGGAAGGGATCTAAAACATTTTCAGACTGCTGTCTTTTATATCTAGGATGATCCAAAATTCTGAGAATTTCGCTACCTACATCTTGCTGTAGCTTTTAATGTACTCCTCTTCTTCCAGGTGACTCATTCCAGATTGGTGGGGCAAATATTCTTGGATCCATGGTAAATGCCTAGAATGGTAGCTTTAATATAAACAGTAATGTCCCCTGAACTCCTGTACAAGGCTGTAATTCCATAAAGAGATTCTAGTGACATAAGCCCTGAGAACAAAACTTAAGTGGCTCGTTCATGTCATTAGAACTCCAACTTGAAGCTACAGTCATAACTTATATACCCTTTTGGGATACATTATTTATTATACATGGTTTAAAACAAATCAGTGTTTTTCCCTTCTCCTCCATCCCTTCCTGTTAGTATGCTAGGTCCCCTTTCTGCATATTTTGTTGTCCTCCCTGGTTCAATCCTACATGGTTTGTGGTCCTTCCCTGGTTACTTCCCATCTTAACAGTTGGAATTTGAAAAGATTTACATTCCGGAAAGTGCATAATTTATTATGTACTTACTGGTGTCGTCTTATGACATCAAGTACAGAAAAATAAAAATGTAAACACCCATGTATTTTATAATTCTATTAAGGTTTCCATGTACAATAAGAAATAATATACTCCCAATTGTACATAGTAAGGCCCTGATGCTGCCTTGGGATTTGCTAACATGGACATCTGTGTCCAACAGATCCCAGTAACTTCAGTGGGTCTCCATATAGGTGCCCTGGTCCACAACATATCTCACTGCAGGCTTGGGGCCTAAGGCTGCAATTCCATCAAAGGTTTCTGGTGATGACAAACATCACAAGGGTGGAGCTTGAGTGGTTTGTTAATGTCACCATAACCCCTTAATGGAATTATTGCCATACTTTATGTATATTTTGTGGTACATTATTTATTATATGTGAATCCTGATTAATGCCTGTGGAGCCACGGAAACCCAGAATTGCTAGTGGCCATTTGAAGCTGCTGAAAGGCAGCGGCACTGCTCTAAACCACTTTTTTGAAAATGTTTTTTTCTGCTTAGTTTTTTTATGTAATTTTTGGTGATGTTTATGCTGATGGTTTTTTATGTACTCTTGGTGATGTTTCAGTCTTACGTACTTTTCTGGTGTCAGAAAAGTACCAGTGGTTGTTTGCAGTCTTCTTGTGTAATCAGCCTATTACAGGCTTCCATGTATAATAAAGTAATTAACATTGTGCAAGTGTAAAACACTTCTGATATGAAAGTGGTGTTTTGAAAACTATGGAATTATTAAACAAATTGTTACAAAAAATTGGGTAATTTATCTCCCATTATCCTCCACCCTCCCCCAAAAAAACAAACCTAAACCCTGTTTCTCTAAGTGAACTATCACCTTTTTACTATTAGTAGGCCTGCTTCCACAGAATTAATCTAATCTCATTAACTTTTTCTCTAAACTTGATTATGTATTTCATCCTTATTTCGATTGAGTGAGGTAAGCTTCCTCTGATCGCCAGACACGGAGCCCAATCTGTCATCAAGGGATGTAGTAGACCATAATTTTTGTAGGCCTCGTGCTTTTTATCATCTCTTGTTTTGCAGAGGTTATGATTTACTTTCTTTATATTGTGTGTACTGGAGATTGCATATGTATTCTGATTGTTTGCTTTAGCTTAATAATAAAAACCTATTATTCACAAAATCATAAAGAACGAAGATATCACTTATATTATCCAGTCACACTTCTGAGACATTTTTATTAAGAAAATTCCGTAAAATGTTTTAAATAGCATCGCAGAAGCAACATTATAGCTTGATGGCATGTTTTAAGGTATTTTTATTGTAAATTTTTGTTTTTTTAGATGATAAATAAAAATACTCTTGGTATTTTAAGCATGCAGACTTAAATACTTTAATGCTTTTAGATTCTTTTTTGGTTTGGAAATTATTTGAATACGCTGTTAAAAAAAAAATTTGAGCCACATCATACCATTAATATTTAGCTTTCCATTGAGATTAGTTAGATTTTGCTTAAACTAGTTGACCAACATGATCCTCTGTGTTGCGTATGGCTTTGTACAGTAGTAGTGCACATACTATAATTTGAATGTTTTGTAATTTGTTAAAAGTTGAGAGCTAGAGTTTCTGTAGATATTATGCAGAGATAATTTTGTTCTAAGATTTTAAACAAAACATTTTCTGTTAACTGGTTTTTGCTTTGAACCCATTGCTTTTTTTTTTTTTTTTTGCCTTTAAAGAACGACCTACCAAAAGTAAGGTTGTATCAATACCATTATTCAAACAAGAAGTAGGTAGCATAAGGGTATGTCTACACTTAAACTCCCTCAGCGGCACAGCTGCGCCGCTGTAGCGCCTCAGTATAGACACTCCCAATGCTGATGGGAGGGGTTCTCCTGTCAGCGAAGGTAATCCGTCTCTCAGGGAGGTGGTAGCTTTTTTTCCATCGACCTAATGCTGTCTACACTCGGGGTTAGGTTGGCATAGCTACCTCTCTCTGGGGTGTGGATTTTTCACACTCCGGAGAGACATAGCTATGCCAATGTAAGTTCCTAGTGTAGACCAGCCCTAAGTATATGTTCTGTGCTTCCTTAATAGGTTTATCTTCTGTTTCGTAAACTTGCTTGTAGAAAATAAATGCAATAGTGCTAAAAGTCCCCAAAACAGTTTGAAAAGGGAAGTAGGGAAGTTGAGTAGATTTAAGCACAGAATATAGTTCCATTTGCCATGAAGTTACCTGAAACTCAAGGAAGAAGATATCTGTATTCCAGAATGAAACAGAATGGTAACTATGGGCAAAAACCAAACAATTACATTAACACTAAGTACTTAAGCAAGTAATATAGGTAGTATCCAGGGGGATTGACAGGAACCCTTGTGGAAGATTGGGAGATGCAAACTGTTACACTTCACACTCTGGTAATTGTGCAATCAATTGAAAATGTGTTTCTAAGTAGAACACAAACAGATATTTTTTCCAGCTAACCACTGAGTTCAAATCATTTGTATCCAGGACAGTACTCAGTGTGCCACATCTATTTGTTTTGGGTGCTTAATGTTGAGCACTTGGTAAATATAGGAAGCTGGTCTTTCTGCTAGCTGCTGGAAAGAACTACATACTGCAAATACAGATTTTCCTTAATGTGTGTGAAGCAGTAGTATAAATATAGCAAACTAACAATCCTATGGGTGATTTGGGGATATAGAGAGGGAAAGGAACATAGTTCGCAAGGTTAAATTAACTTTCTCGTGTCATAACTTTTAGTGTCTGGAAGTATATTTTAAAAAGGGATGTAAGGGAGTTAAATCCTGTTTCCCAACCCCAAATGTAGAGACTAAGTTGAAGGTTCTGAGGGGGTATTATTTACAAGGAAGTGGCCATTAAGAAGTAATATACATGATAATAAGAAATGGTACATACGTAAACTGAAGCATTTATACTTACCACTATATGTAGCTCACATCTCAGAACTGATGCTGAGACAGACAAAGCAATGTGGTTCTCCTTCCTCCAGATTATGGGTGGGTGAGTGTAAACCAGCAAAAACTCTGTGTGTACTCCAGAGCTGTTTGAAAACTGGAAATTAACACAGCTGAAAATGGTAATATTTGAATGTAAATTAAAGCAGGAGCAGCAAATTGAGGGGGGGGAGGGGTCTTAAGAAAATGAAAATATAAGCATTTCAGGCTTTTATGGAATCCTGAAGCAAGCTTGTACTTTCCAAAAGATTTCCCCCACTGTGCTAGAGCAAATTCATTGTATTAGCTGCCTATAGTTCTCAGCCCCTGGTAAGTAAAATCATCATCTAATTCTAGGTGAAGTGATGAAGTGCTTAATGTTAAGTATCCCATCACACACAATTTAAATCAAGAGCAGACAAGTTGGCACAAAAGGCACAATTTTGTGCTACCTTGAGGATTTTGTCTTTTCTGGCACTTAAACAAAGAACCCCTGCTACAAACATAGTACCTCTTAATTAGGCTGGAGGGAGGGTTCCCTTATAATAATTCTAGTCTCAGGATATTTGATAATGTAAAATAGAAATTCAGTTACTGCTTGGATCAACTTAGTATACGTTTACATGTTTACTGTTGTAATAATGCGTTGGTTTTTAAAAATCTATCTGATAACGCTATAATGGGGCACTCTAGCATGTCAAAAAGTCTTTTAATATTTTTGTTATAGACTATCCCTTGGTATTATAAAAGGGAAATATGGCAACTTACCAATTTGCTTTTGCTCCCATGAGATGATAAAAAGCTGATGCCTCATGAAAACCTTGAAAAGATTTTGAAAGAATTCAGCTTGTCGTATTTTCTCTAGTCTTATCTCTCTTTTTATGACTAACAACATTTGCATGAAAACAATCATTGTTTGGTTGCACTTTGCTTCCCACTAGAAATGAGTCTTCTAATTGTAATGTTACAGTTGATGATTGTGGAAATGTGTTTTGTGACTAGAAAGCATACTTTTAATAGTGTAAAAGGTATTGTAGCCTTTACTTCCTGCATTCTCTACTTTTTATTATAGGCATGCAGTTAGCCAGATACTTTTCATTATAAGACATTTTTTTTCAATTGCTTATAAATTCACCAAACTTTAACCATTCAGGCTGAAATTTTCCTGCTGGGTGTCTGACTCAGGCTGAAATTTTCTGGAAAATTTAAGCAAAACCAGTTCAACTATTTCCTAGAACAAAAAATAGGGGAAAATGGTGTCTTTACCCACATTTAAAAAAAAATAATCTTACAACCATTTCATTGAAAACCTGTAGTACCTCCATGCTTTATAGCTGGGGCTTGACATTTGTCAGGGTGATTGTTCTGATGTCAGGGATGTGCCTTTTGTCATCCTTGTGAAAATCTGCCTGAATTTGGCCTAGTTATGAGCCTCTGAAAAATCTCAGTTTGCACATGTTCAGTAGAGACTTGAGAGTTTTGCAGCTAAATTCTCAAGATGATTCCATCTGTGCTGGATATGATCTAGCATGAGACTTGGAGGGGCTGAAGAGGGACTGATTTTCCACTGCAATTTGTTCTTTGGCAGCAAGGAGATGCTGTGACACATCACAAGAACTGTGAGAGCAGGGAGACATGTTCTTCTCTACTCGGTGTTCCTGCTGCTAACACAGGCAATGAGGAGGAGGAGGAGACAGCCTGACTCAAATGCAGAGGAATGGGGAGCTGGGCCCTGAGGTCTGGGGGAAGGGGTGATAGAGGAGGGGAGGCTGGGCTGAGGAGCCAATTGCGGGCAGTCTGGGACAAGGAGAGGCTGGAGGTCCAGGGGCAGAAGGAGCCACACTTCGGGGGTCAGGGAGACATGACAGAAGCAGAAGTCTGAATCCACTAGCGTATGCTCTCCTCGGAACCTGGAGTAGAACCCAGCATTCCTGAGTCTCAACATTCTTCAGCTGTCAGGAAATAAGCTGTGAAACCCTCTGGCAACGTGTATGCTTCATCTTTCTCTAATGGCTGGCCCACATAGAGCATAGTAACGTACTACTGCTATCCGTTCTTAGCTCAGGTGACAGAAGTCTGTGCTGTTGTTCCTGCTGAAGAATCGTGGGATAGTCAGCATGGTATGATGTGATGGAATTTGTGTTTTTCAGTCAGGGACCCTGTCTTTCAGTGCACAGAATAGATGATGCTGAATGAGCAACTACTCAGTATTTTGTTTTATCCTCATTGTTCAGTGTATGGTTTCATGCCTTATTTATTGCACACCATTCAAATCCTGCTCTGAATACAGAGTTCTTAATTTCATCGCGGGCTTTTCTGTGGTGTTCATCACTGTAGCATCTGTGTACT